CTAAGGACGGTTGGCTACCTGAGAAGGAGGTCAGATCCTCATTCATTCACTCACTGATCATTTTATTAATAAATAATTTATTTATTCCACATGTATTTATTAAACACAGACACTGTGCTAGGGGGTGGGGATATAATGATGAACTAGACAACTGCTACTTCCTAGCAATCACTTTATAATAAAAGGAGGAAGTAAAGAAAGATAAAGACAATTAAATGAAGTCATTACATGTTGTGTGAAGAAAACAATAAAAAACTGTAGATAGAAATTTCAGGAGGTAGAGGAAGCAGTTTACTTCAGACATTGTGGTTAGAAAAGGCCTCTTGAAGGGGTAACATATGAAGAAGTAACTTGAAGAAGCCAGAAAGGCAAATAATAAAAAGAAACCAATATAGATAACAGGGAAATATATGAGCATGGCATATGCAAAGGTCCTGGGGCTATAAGGAACTTGGCATGTTCAAAAAATGAATGGGGATGGGTTAGCATGACTGAAGATAACAATAGAGGGTGCAAGTGGAAGCACTGGAGGAGTCTAAATATTGGAATGATACAGTTAAATCTCCACTTACAGAGATAATCCTGGCTAATTCATAAAGAATGGATTTAACAGATAGATGGAGGAATGGGTGGAGACAGCCAACCGGGATTCTAATTTACAGACTGGGAAGTGATGGCAGTTGCTCTATATGCAGTGGTGGGTGGCAGAAATATTGGAGAGAGATGGGTGGAGTTGAGGTGTATTTTGAATATAAACCTCTTTAGGGAAAGGAGGATATACTTGATGGGTTGGATGTAGGGCTTCAGGGAAAGGAGGAATCAAAGAGGAGTCTTAGGTTTCTGTCTTGAGTAACTGGGTGTGGGAGTGGGCATGTTGGACAATTATTGAGGGTACTACTTAGGACATATTCAATTTGCATGCTCTGGGACAATATAAATTGGTATTCTAACAAGAACCTTGGGCTAGATCAAACTGCCCCATCCATCAGGACAGTTTTCCATTTGTGAGAACCAGTAATGTCATCCAGAGAGACAGCATAGAGGAGAGATCAGGCCTGAGGAACCTTAACTTTTGAAGTCACAGAGGGAAGAACTGGAGAAGAGGAATGAGAGAGAAAGGCCACTGGGGTTGGGAAATGCTCTGTGGCCATCACCCCTAGATGTGAGTGTAAAAATGAGGCAGAGCAGCAGGCTGTGTTCAACACTGATTAAGATGAGTACAGCAGAATGCCCATGGGATTTGGCAACCAAGATGTCATTGGTGATGCTCAAAAAAATGTTTTGGTGGAGAAGTTAGAAGCCAAGACTAGAATGTGCTGACCAGTCAATGGTATCCTAGTACTCAGAGGCATGCCAATTACAGTAACAACAAGATATTCTTAATACACTGGATGAACAATGGTTTTTAATTTAAAAATGGGTTTTGGTCAGGGAGGGAAAGATAAACACATCGTTGGGAGTATAAGTTGAAAAAGCCACATCAAAAGGCAGATTGCCAGTATCCATTGAAAATAAAAGAAGCACTTACAATTTTTTTTAGAAACTGTTATGTAAGAGGCAATAGTTGGCACTTAAGGGGAGTAAATAGGCATAAAAGACACAATCTCTGTTCTCTATGTACCTAGAATTTGGTTGAGGAGAAGAGAGCAAAGGGGCCAAGACAAATGGATAAACGAGCACAAATTCTAGCAAAAGAAATGTCACATGAGAAGGCAAAATGTTATGGACCTTAAAGGAGACTAGATATTGCATTTGGTAGGGGAGATAGAGATCAATCAATAGACATGTAAGATGTTAGAGACATGGGCAGTGAGATACACAAGGATGCATGTGTCTGAGATGTTTGAATGAGAGAAGGTGTTGGGGGAGGGAAGCCGATGTGCTGGGAGTAAGTAGTAGAGGAAAGAAGTTTGCTCTGAATTTTCTCAGCCTCAGTTTACACCAGAAAGCAGGGCCTGAGACAATGCTTGCATGCAGAGTGACGAGAAGCGAACAGGAGTAAGGGCTAGGAAAACGGAAGCAGGAATGCTAGGGCAACCAACACAAGGATGTGTTCTTGGGCTCAGCACTGCCATGGGCAACTATGACCAAGTCCTGCTGGGACCCTCTGAGAACCATGTAGATGTAATAGATATAATGCTTCTCGGAACTGTCCACCATGTGATGGGAGGCGTAGCATTTCCCACCCACTCCCATCCCCCCACTGGTGAAGGTTTCCTCAGGAGCAACTCCCTCTTGGTTCCAGGTGTGCACATGCATGAGTACAGAGCAGGTCCCTGCAAGTGTCCTTCTCAAGGTGTCCTAGGCACCCCTGAGCAGGCTGGAACAGCAGAGATGACTTCTCAAAGTACAGCAGTGACTGGGGAAAAGGCAGGCTAGCAGGGTGTAAGGTGGGGTTCAAGGGTTATCATCAACAATCCTGGGCAGTGAAGCAACAGGAGGTAATGCCAGAAGGACAGGTCTTGGAACAGATTATGCCTGGCTGAGAAAATCAAACTTAGTTAGCAATCGGTATCCATTGCAAAACCTGATTGTAAGATTTGAGGTGCAGAAAACTGACCACCAAGACATTTTAAAGTAAAGTTTATTCCCCAGTAATGAGCAGGACTCATTACAGAGGCAGAGAAATCAGAATTGAAGGAGTGGGGAGGGGAGAAAGGACCCAGCCAGGCTGCCTCCAGATGGACATGGAGGGAAGGCAACACATGGCTGGTCTGGGGATCTTTGTAAGGGGAGGAACAGAAGAGGGTTGGACCCAGGGTGGAAATAGGAAGGGGTGGCTCTGGGGCACTTTGGCATATGCTGATTGGTGGTTCAATGTCTTGGTGATGTCTCTGTGATAGATGCCAGTAATGTCATAACTCCGCCCACCAGTTGGGAGGAGGGAGAATCTCACACTGATAATCACATTTGTCTTGTGCAAAGAAAGACAGGGTCTCCTGAGAGGAGAGCCCATTGCAACTCACATTCATGTCCAGGATATTATAGTAAATTGAAGTTTATATGTGATTGGTGAGGTGAGTTTGTAGATTTCATTATAGGCTTTAACTAAAGTCACCCTCACAAAATGGACAATGGGCTTAAAAACATCCCAATAAAAAAACTATTGATTGAAGGTTCTACTATAATTCCAAAAAATAACAAGAAAATGTCATAGTTGACCTACTACCAGCCACTTTAGAAAGTAAAAACAAGGAGTTTCGAGAAGTTGCCTGAAAAATAATTCAAACTGATATGTGATTCTTTGAAACATGGATTGATTTGCATTCATATTGTTCATTTGTATTCATATGTTAACAATTCATCTTTAACCAAAGTATATACTATGTGTCAAATTATTAACTAATGGTATTAAGAATTCACCATGAGTATGAACATGTAAAATGTTTATTTCATATTTTTCTTATTCTTTATATTATATTTCTCTTTGGGAGTAAATTTCCAATGTTTAAAATGAACATGTATAAAATTAATAAATAGTATTTATATTGAAAGAGTGATATGAACAAAAATGTTTGCAATTCACATCTCTAAGCCATGGGTTGGCGGGAGGAACAGGAGAGGGTTGTGTACAAGGAGCATTTGGGATGTTGACTTAACTGGATATGAAAAGCCATGGCCAGTTCGGTCTTGAAGAAAGAGCTGATATGCAAATTAAAACACAAGAAATAATAATTTTGAAATTATGGGAAGAAACCAGAAAAAACTGTAGTAGTCAAGTTCCACTGAGTCTCTGTTCTGCTTTTATATACCAGGATACACAATTGCCTTTTAGGAATGCAAACAGACATATCAAAGGTGATTGTTTAGTAAACAGTAAAATTATCAGGTTTGCATTAGGCCATTGAGTCAGCAGTAGGTCATAAAATGGAAATTCACCCTGTGAATATCAAAGGAGCCCAGGTCATCCTTCTGACAGTTTTCTCAAATTTATATTAATTGCTGTAGATCTTGATTTACAGCAACTGGACTTGACAACAAAATGGATAATAATACAAGATCAGGAAAGAATAAAAAGTGACTCTCAGCTTTAATACTGGAACAACAATCTATTGGGAGTCATGTGTGCCAGTGAATGTCTAGAGGAGGTGGCTTTGGGTGCTGAGCATGAGGTGAACTGTGGACGGACATCAATGCTCGGTGGTCTCTCCTTTTTTTTTCTTTTTCTTTTTTTTCTTCTTTTTTTAATTTTTACTTTTAATGCATTTATTCTTGAATTTTAAAAAAAATCATTTTATTGTTTAAAGTATTACAAATAGTAATAGATATGTATTTTTTCCCAGCCTCCCCTACCCACTGGCACATGCATCCCCCCCCCTCCAGTGTTTTGTGTCCATTGGTTATGCTTATATGCATGCATACAAGTCTTTCGGTTGATCTCTTAACCCCCACCATCCTCCCCAGATTTCCAACTGTAGTTTGACAGTTGGTTCGATGTTTCTCTGCCTCTGTATCTATTTTTGTTCATCAGTTTATAATGTTCTTTGTTATCCATAAATAAGTGAGATTATGTGGCATTTTTCTTTCACTGACTGGCTGATTTCACTTAGCATAATGCTCTCCAGGTCCATCCATGCTATTGCAAATGGTAAAAATCCCTTCTTTTTTATAGAGTAGTATTCATTGCGTAGATGTTCCAGTTTTTTAATCCACTCATCTGCTGATGGACATTTAGGCTGTTTCCAAATCTTAGCTATTGTAAATTGTGCTGCTATGAACAAAGGGGTACATATATCCTTTCTGATTGGTGTTTCTGTATTCTTGGGATATAGTCCTAGAAGTGGTATTCCTGGGTCAAATGGCAGTTCCATTTTTAATTTTTTGAGGAAATGCCATACTGTTTTCCATAGTGGCTACACCAGTCTGCATTCCCACCAGCAATGAAGGAGGGTTCCTTTTTCTCCTCATCCTCTCCAGCACTTGTCGTTTGTTGATTTGTTGATGATAGCCATTCTGACAGGTGTGAGATGGACCTAGAGATTCTCTTTCCTGGAATCAGCCTACCACAGTCCAGGCTGCAAGGAACTGAAATAGAAGTTGGTATTGTAAGTTTTTCCCCTTTCCTTTGTGAGGGTGACTGGCTGTCTAGCCTGAGAGGAAGTGGCTATGAACCAGCCCAGGTAGGCGACGGACTCGAAGGAGGAGGTGGCGGTGGAGCCCTCTGGGCTGTGCAGAAAGAGAAAGGACTTCTTCGCCTCCTTTTCCTCGTACAGTTTCATTAAGCTTTGCTCCTAGGAACAGAAAGAGACCTATCAGAGAGGATTACTGGGAGGAGGGAGCTCAATTAATTCAGCTTCAGGAGTGACTGCTTTCCCCACAGGGAGGAGCATGGGCTGATGAGAGGAGGGTGCCAGGTGCAAACACAGGCAACACTTCAGTTCCCAAAAGCTTGGTTCCCCCTGAGATCCCACAGCACTAGGTACTTCCGATTCTTTGAGACAACTCCATCTTTCCCAGAGCAGAGTGGGGATCATTGTGTCGTAGGTGCTCCTGCTAGGCACCCATCTACAGGTTCAGACCAGCCTCATGAGATTCCCAGCCTCCAGTGGGTGCTCACATTGCAGTGTCCGTCACAGCAGAAGAATGAGCTTCATGACCATAAATGCTGCTTTCAGTGCAGGGACCACAGACATGAAATCTGCAGATTGCAGACACAATCTGCCCTTCCCTCCTCTGTGTGTGGTGGCCTGATCTCATATGGGAGTGCTCCAACATCTTAGAGGATTTCTAGGAGGCATTTAAAGAGTTCAAGGAATGGAGAAGCTGCTGCCCTGGCCTTCCTGAAATACCTTTGTGGTGTCCTTTCTGGCATTCAGAGGATGCTCTGACAGTGATACACCCATTCCAAAGGGATCGAGTATTGGCTTGGAGACTAAGTCAGGTTTCCTTACAATGTACAAATAATCCAGGGTTGATAAAATGTTATTTTTACATAGAAATATACTAAATTAAATGAAAAGTCACAGTATTTCTCTCATTAGCTGCACAATCACTCACCTTAAGCTGCAAGGTAGGCTGGCCATTAATTTCTGCACAGAACAGACAGAGATCTTCCTGGACTCCCAGGTATATCGGATTGCCTTTTTCATTAGAGATGTTCGGGTCTCTGCATGGCACTGAGAAAATAGTCACTGGAAATAGACATGGAAACAGGCATCAGCTCCAGGAGGCAGAAAGGCCAGTCCTGCCAAGACACAGATGCTCTTCCCATCCTGGTGCTGACCAGCCAGGTCTTTCCAGAAGGCTCCCCCAATTAGCCAGGGGGTAGAACTGCTCCATCATAGATGGGTAGTAGAAACCCATTTCCTTTTTCCTTCCTTCCTATCAGAGCCCAGTTTCCCCAAAATAAAAATAAAATTCCCGACCACACTTCTGCTAACTTTGACCAGACCTTAAGTTGTAGCCCATGAGTTCCAGTGGAAGTGTAGTGTGGGATTTCCAAGAATGTTCTTTAAGGGGAGCTCCCTCAGCTGGAAGGAGCACCTATTTTTGTTAATCCTCATCCAAATGTATCTTCCAATTGATTTTTAGAGAGGGTGAGAGGGAGGAGAGACACAGAGAGAGAAACATCGATGTGAGAGAGACACATGGATTGGGTGCCTCCCACACATGCCCTGACCAAGGCCGGAGATCGAACCTGCAATTGAAGTACATGCCCTTGACCTGAATCAAACCTAGGACCCTTCAGTCAGTGGACCGACTCTCTATCCACTGAGCTAAACAGGCTAGGGTTGAGCTCCTTCTATATATCCTGTGTCTTCCTAGACTTAGGTGATGGTTGGCGTGAGCGTAAGATTCATAAGGCACAATGGGCTCATCACACTGGCCTCAGATGCCTGCTCAGGCTTCTTTCACATCATGTACGCATGAGCAGAAGGAAAAATAGAGACGGGTTGTATAGTCAACGCTTCTATGGAATTTGGCTGTGGTTGGCATATAGCATGGTGCATTGTATAGAGGAAAACAGATCAATGATAGGAATGAAATGTTGGCATCAAGAAGAGCTTTTTAGTATTCAGCTTAGAAATATTATGTTCGAGCATATTTATCAGTAACTGAAAAGACCCAATAAATAGATAGACAAAGGTGGGATATGCAGGGAACAGAGGGATGGGATCAAACACTGAATCCCAGGGGGAAGGAAAGAGCTAAGTTGCACGGACTTCTTCCCACAGCTTCATTGAGGCATGATTGACCTATGATAGAAGGAAGAAATATTTTCCTGTTACCAGAAGAGAGGGCACCCAGTTAGAAGAATGTGCAGTTTGGTGGTGAAAGGTGAAGGAATTTAATCTGAGGATATAGGTAGCAATGGATGAAATTTAAAGGAGAGAAGCTCCGGGGAAAAGATGGGCTGCTAAATGAATGGACAACCCCATCTTGTTGAAGACATTTTCTTTGGGTAAGGAGAACCTCCCATCCCTCACTCCTCATTTCTAGGTGCAGGGTTTCTTTTGCAGAAGGAAACCACCTGTCCTTTCTTGCCCTCCTGTGGACACTGAGCTGGTGCCCAGTAGGAGAGACCATAGCTGAGCTCATACAAGGTCAGCCCCATTCCCAGAGGAGCTGGTATCCCTATAAGAGGCAAACATTGTCACTCACCAGGTTTGACGTTGGGGTCGTCAGAAGGCACTGCGATTAAAGACTTTCCCTCCAGCATCCACACCATCTGTAGACGATCACGAATACTATAGGTTTCTGGCTGTTTTAGCTCTTCCAGGTGATGGGGGGAAAGTACAAAGCACACATGAAGTTACTATCAACTTTCAGGACTTGGGCTGCATCCTGTAGTACAGTGGTTTCCTCACCCACCCCCTTCCTACTCACTGTTTTTACTTCTCTCGATTTCAATTACCCACACTCAACTGTGGTCTGACAGTATTAAAAGGAAAATTGCAGAAATAAATAATTCATAAGTTTTAAAATGCATATTGTTCTAAAGTTGTGATGGGAGCTCACATCACCCACCTGGGATGTGAATTGTCCCTTTGTCCAGCATGTCCTCACTGTATATAAGCCCACACAGGAGTCACTTGGTAACTATCTGAGTTATCAGATCTACTCTTGTGGTATCATAGTGCTTGTGTTCGAATCACTCTTATTTTACTTAACAATAACCTCAAAGCATAAGAGTAGTTATGTTGGCAATTCAGATGTGTCAAAGAATAGCCGTAAGGTGCTTCCATTCAGTGAAAAGGCATATGATATATAGGAAATAATATAGTATATATGGAGTTTGGTACTATCTGCGGGTTCAGGTATCTGCTGAGGATATCAAAACATATCTCCCTCAGATAGGGTCTGGAGGTGGGGGTGGGGGTGACTGTACTTGCTTATGAATTTCTAGGGTAGATTTACTGTTCTGAGAAAGAGTGGCTATAAAGAGAAAGGGAGAGAGACACAAAATGGCGGAAGAATAGATGGATGGGTTCCGAAGCAGAAAGAGAGAGCATCTGAGGGTCACGCTGGGAGTGTTTGTTAGCAAGCTAAGAGACAGGCGAACTCCAGGAGAAGGTGAGAGACTGCTAATCAGGGTGCCCCTGACAGGGAAGCACCCACAGCGGGGCTGGGTCCCCTCCCAGAGCTACCTGCGGGCTTGGACAGGGAAATCTCACCATCTTTAAAGGAAAAGTGGATCTTGTCAGAAGCCTGAATAACAATAGCTGCAGTGACAACTGAGCATCTGTGAGCCCCAGAATGCCAGTCCCGGGCAGCTTGAACACTTGGACTCCAAAGAGCGCTCCACCGCATGGCAAAAAGGTCAGATTTTTCGGGGATAAGGTGAGTTCATGTGAAGACAGAAGCCTGCCATGCCGCGCGGAAACTGGAGGACTGGGGCGGTGTTTACAAGGAGAAGCCCCGGGCTGTTGGGCTGGTGTCATCCATGATTGTGGATGGGGCTCCTAATAGGGAGGATATCTAAAGATATCAACCCATTTTGATCTGACGTGGAGCGATAGCCAGCGAGCTTCAGGGCAGTGCAGTCAGCTCAGACGTGCCCACCAACTTCCGCAGATCAGTGAAGTGTCATAGAGGGGGGGAAAAAAGCTAGAGAGGCTTTAGAGCCCTGGAAGTCAATCAGAAACACAGCCATCCAGAGGCTAAATCACACATTGACCCTAGTGTAATAAAAAATCAAAGCAAGGCCTGCTTAAAAATCAGGACCAGATTACAACACTGAGGAGCAGTGAAACACAGGGAACTGCAATACTGTCCGGACTGGGAAACAAGCGTGCCAAACAGAACGATAGAGGAAGTAAATGACCTTTATTACTACACATTTTATTTAATTTTTTTACGTTTATTTTTTAATTTTTTAATGTTTTTATTTTCATTATTTGCAATATTACTCAAGAAACTATTTTTTCTTTTTTCCCCACTTGATTTTACCTTTTTAATTAACATATTTTTATTTGTAATCAGCATTATTACTACTACTATTTTACCTTTTTTATCTTATTTACTTTTGTTTATTATTATTATTTTTTAAGTGTCATATAATTTGCTCTTTATTTTACTTTGGGATTAGTGTTCTACAGTCTCTTTTAACCTTGCCTTCACCAATGTTTTATTCTATCTCAACCCTACCTTTATGCCATCTCTCTCTTCCTAATCTTTCCCCTTTGGTGTCCTGATTATCTTAACCCTTTCCTGCTCTAGATTTTCCCTATTCTTTCTGTTTACCCCTGCTAAAATTTCACCCTACTTGTGTATATCTAATTTCCAACAATTTGCTCCAAGCCCATAAACACCTCCCTTTTCGCTGTCTTAAAAAAACAAAACAAAACAAAAACAAAAAAAAACTTTCTCTCTATCCTTTTGTACTTGTATGTTGAATGTTAACTATATCAAAATTTTATGCTTTTTTGTGAGATTGCTTTGCTTATTCTTTTTGTTTGATTGTATGTTTTTGTTAGCTGTGTTTTAGTTAGTTTTTACTTCTATTTTACCTTCCCTCGCTTGATATTAGTTGGTGTTGTAAGTTGTATTAATATCCAGATACTTGTTCCTGACATTTGCTGTGATTAAGGGTTGATCTATTGGAGTTTCCTTCCCATATAAATAGTTAGTTCCTCATTTCTCTCTTAATATCATTCTAGTTTCTCTCTCTCTTTTTTTTTCTCCTTCTCTCAATTTCATTTTGTCACTTTTTTTTCCTCTTCTATCTTCCCTCCCCCATAATTTACCTTTCTCTAATGGTCACCTTTATTGGAGGTTATTAATATCACAAACACATTTCTGTTCAGTGCCTTGTGTGTTGTACCTGGTTGTGTTGTATTTTGTGCCTTTAAATCAACACAGGAGAGAGAGAACTACATAATCAGACATCCTGAAAAGAGAGATCATGGGGAGAGACAAAGAAACAGGACACATATGAAAGAAAAGCAGGCATCACCAGAAGTAAACGAGTTAGAGGCAAGCAACCTACCAGAACAAGAATTCAGATTAATGATCATACGATGGCTAAAAAGAATGAAAGAAAATTTGACAATATGAGTAAGAACCAAGAGGAAATGAAGAAGAACCAAGGAGAAATGAAAAATGGCATTGCTACTGTAAAAAACTCAATAGAAAGCATCAAGAATAGACTAGAAGAAGCAGAGGACCGCATCAGTGAGCTAGAAGACAAGATGGGGGAAAAAATACCCAATTAGAGCAGCTTCTGGGGGGGAAAGAATTAAAAAGCAGGAGGAATGCCGAAGGGAACTTTGGGACAATACAAAACAAAACAATATTAGAATAATGGGGGTTCCAGAAGGAAAGGAAACTAAGGAACGCATAGAAAAAATGTTTGAAAAAATAATGACAGAAAACTTTTCTGACATAGAGAAGAAAAAACCCACACAAATTCAAGAAGCTTGCAGTCCCAAGCAAAATGAATCCCAAAAGACTGACACCAAGGCACATTATAATTAAATTGGCAAACACCAACGACAAAGTAAGAATCTTAAAAGCAGCCAGAGAGAGACAGAAAGTTACATATAAAGGAACCCCCATCATACTAGCAACTGATTTCTCCACAGAAACTCATCAGGCCAGAAGGGAATGGGATGAAATATACAAAATCATGCAAAGGAAGGATCTGAATCCAAGAATACTGTACCCCACAAAGCTATCAATCAAAATTGAAGGTGAAATCAGGAGCTTCACAAACAAAAACAGACTAGGAGAATTTATCACCACCAAACCAGCAATGCAAGAAATGCTAAAGGGTCTGCTGTAAAAATAAAGAAATAGGAAGTGAAGAAGGAACACAGAGGTTTAGAATAAAAATGGTGACAAATAAGTACCTATCAATAATAACTTTAAATGTAAATGGATTAAATGTCCTAATCAAAAGACATAGGGTAATGGATTTGATAAGAAAACAAGACCCATATATCTGCTGTCTACAAGAAACCCATTTCTGAAAAAAAGATGCACACAGACTGAGGGTAAAGGGATGGAAAAAGGTTTACCAGGCGAATAGAAATGGGAAGAAAAAAAAAAAAAAAAAAAAAAACACCTGGGGTAGCAATACTTATATCTGACAAACTAGATTTCAAAGTGAAGAACATAATAAAAGATAATGAAGGCCACTTTATAATACTAAAGAGAGCAATCCAACAAGAAAAAATAACCCTGGTAAACATATGCACCCAATTCAGGAGCACCCAAATACATTAAAAAACAAACAAAACAAAACAAAAAAAATTGCTGGAGGACATTAAGGGAGAGATTAATAGCAATACAATCTTAGTAGGAGATTTTATACCCAACTATCACCTTTGGACAAATCATCTAAGCAAAAAATCAGCAAAGAAACATCAATCCTAAATGACACACTAGACCAGATGGAATTAATCGACATCTTCAGAACATTTCACCCCAAAGCCACAGAATATACATTCTTCTCAAGTGCACATGGGTCATTTTCAAAGATTGACCACATGTTGGTACATAGGCAAAGTCTCTTCAAATTCAAGAAGATAGAAATCATATCAAGCATCTTCTCATATCATAGTGGCATAAAACTGAAAATCAACTACAATAAAAATAATCCAAAGAAATCAAATACATGGAGACTAAATAGCATTATATTAAACAAGGACTGGGTTACCAGAGAAATCAAGGAAGAAATTAAAAACATCCTGGCAACAAATGACAATGAAAACACAAAAATCTAAAATATATGGGACACAGCAAAAGCAGTTTTGAGATGGAAGTTCATATCTCTACAAGCCTATTGCAAAAAAAAACAAGAAAAAATAGTAACAAATTATCTAACTCTACAACTCAAAGAATTAAAAAAAGAGCAACAAGAAAAACCCAGTGTAAGCAGAAGGAAGTAAATAATAAAAATAGAGCTGAGATAAATGACATAGAGACCAAAGAAACAATACAAAAGATCAAGAAAACCAAGAGCTGGTTCTTTGAAAGGATAAACAAGATTGATGAACCTCTAGCCAGGCTAGCCTAGAAACAAAGAGAGAGGACCCAAATAAACAAAATCAGAAAAGAAAGAGGTAAAATAACAACAGACCCTGCTGAAATACAAAGGATTGTTACAAAATACTACGAACAATTCTATTCCAACAAACTGGACAATTTGGAGGAAATGGACATATTCCTAGAAAAATGCAACCTTCCAAAACTCTATCAGGAAGAATCTAAAAATCACAATATATCAGTGACTTTGGAAGAAATTGAAACAGTCATCAAAAAACTTCCAGCAAACAAAAGCCCAGAGCCAGATGAATTTACAGGAGAGTTTTACCAAACATCCAAGGAAGAACTAAAATCTATCCTCTTCAGACTATTCCAAAAAATTCAAGAGGAAAGAACACTTCCAAACTCCTTCTATGAAGCCAGCATCACCCTAATACCAAAACCAGATAAAGACAACACATTGAAAGAGAATTACAGGCCAATATTTCTCATGAACATAGATGCCAAAATCCTAAACAAAATTCTAGCAAATCGGCTCCAACAGAACATCAGAAAGATCATACACCATGACCAAGTAGGATTTATTCCGGGAATGCAAGAATGGTACAATATCCACAAATCAATAAACGTGATACATCACATAAACAAATTGAAAGATAAAAAACATATAGACATAGAAATCGATGCAAAAAAGCATTTGATAAAATCTAACACCCTTTCCTGATAAAAACTCTCAACAAGGTGGGAGTACAAGGATCTTACCTCAACATAATAAAAGCTATATATGATAAACCCACAGCCAACATCATCTCAATGGGCAAAAACTAAAACCATTCCCTCTAAGAACAGGAACAAGACAGGGATGCCCACTCTAACCACTCCTGTTTGACATAGTACTGGAAGTACTAGCCATTGCAATTAGACAAGAAGAGGAGATAAAAGGCATCCAAATCGGAAAAGAAGAAGTAAAGTTATCCTTATTTGCAGATGACGTGATATTGTACATAAGAAAAAAAGACTCCATCAAAAAACTAATAGACTTAATAAATGAATTTGGCAATGTAGCAGGATACAAAATTAATGCCAAGAAATCTATGGCATTTCTATACACCAGTGGTGAACTTCCAGAAACAGAGACTAAAAAAGCAATTCCATTTACCATCGCACCAAAAAAATTAAGATACCTAGGAATAAACTTAATTAAGGAGGTAAAAGACCTATACGCAGAAAACTACACGATACTGAAAAAAGAGATAGAGGAAGATGTAAACAGATGGAAGAACGTATCATGTTCATGAATTGGTAGAATCAACATCATTAAAATGTCCATACTTCCCAAAGCAATTTATAAGTTCAATGCACTCCCCATTAAAATACCAATGGCATATTGCACTGACCTAGAAAGAATTCTCCAAAAATTCATCTGGAACAATAAAAGGCCCCGAATAGCCACAGCAATCCTGAGAAAGAAGAGTAAAGTAGGAGGGATCTCAATACCAGATTTCAAGCTGTATTACAAAGCCACTGTTCTCAAAACAGCCTGGTACTAGCACAAGAACAGACATATAGATCAGTGGAATAGAATTGAGAATCCAGATATCAACCCAAATCACTATGCTCAATTAATATTTGGCAAAGAAGGCACGAACATACAATGGAGTCAAGACAGTCTCTTCAATAAATGGTGTTGGGAAAATTGGACAGATACATGCAAAGGAATGAAATTAGATCATTAACTTACACCATACACAAAAATAAAGTCAAAATGGATACAGGGCTTAAACATAAGATGGGAAACCATAAAAATACTAGAGGCATCCACAGGCAGCAAAATCTCAGACATATGCCGAAAGAACTTCTTCACTGATACTGCCCCTAGAGCAATGGAAGCTAAAGAGAAAATAAAAAAAATGGGACTACATCAAAATAAAAAGCTTTTTTACAGCAAAAGAAACCATCAACAAAACAACAAGAAAGCCCACTGTGTGGGAGAACATATTTGCAAATGTTATCACTGATAAAGGTATAATCTCCAACATCTACAGGCAGCTTATACAACTTAATAAAAGGAAGATAAATGAGCCAATTAAAAAATGGGCAATGGACCTAAATAGAATCTTTTCAAAAGAAGACAGAGGAAGACCAAGAAGCACATGAAAGCATGCTCAAAGTCACTAATTATCCGAGAGATGCAAATTAAAATGACAATGCAGTACCATCTCACACCTGTCAGAATGGCTATCATCGACAAATCAGCAAACGACAAGTGCTGGTGAGGATGCGGAGAAAAAGGAACCCTCATGCACTGCTGGTGGGAATGCAGACTGGTGCAACCACTGTGGAGAACAGTTTGGAGTTTCCTCAAAAAAATGAAAGTGGAACTCCCATTTGACCCAGTAATCCCACTCCTAGGAATACAGCCTAAGAAACTAGAAACACCAATCAAAAAGGATATATGCACCCCTGTGTTCATAGCAGCACAATCTACAATAGCTAGGATTTTGAAACAGCCTAGGTGCCCATCAGCAGATGATTGGATCAAAAAACTATAGTACATCTACACAATGAAATACTATGCTGCCATAAAAAAGAAGGAAATCTTATTATTTGCAGTGACCTGGATGGAATTGGAGAACATTATGCTAAGTGAGATAAGCCAATCAATGAAAGAAAAACACCACATGTTCTCACTCATTTATGGATAATAAGGAACATAATGAACAAAAAGATAGATATAGAGACAGTAAAGAAACAAACAGCCAGAACCCGTTTGGCTTAGTGGATAGAGCGTCGGCCTGCAGACTGGAAGGTCCCAGGTTCGATTCTGGTCAAGGGCATGTACCTTGGTTGCGGGCACATCCCCAGTGGGAACTGTGCAGGAGGCAGCTGATCGATGTTTCTCTCTCATCGATGTTTCTAGCTCTCTATCCCTCTCCCTTCCCTCTCCCTTCCTCTCTGTAAAAAATCAATAAAATAGATTTTAAAAAAAAGAAAAGAGAAAAAAAAAAGAAACAGACTGTCAAATTACAGCGGGGAGGGGAGGGAGATATGGGGGAGATAAGAGATCAACCGAAGAACTTGTATGCATGCACATAAGCATAACCAATGAACGAAAAACTCTGGGGAGGGAGGGCAAAAACTATGGGAGTGGGGGGGGGGGGATTGGTAAGTGGGGATTTCTATTGCGGCATTACATAACATTTTTATTGTTGTTATTTAAATGAGAAAAAAATAACAACAATAAAAATATGTAAAGATATGTAATGCCACAATAGAAAAAAATTAATTCTACAGTTACACAAATAACAAATATTTAGCAAGTTGAAGTAAATGACTTCACATATAGAAAAAAATATTAAAATCAATATTAATATTAAATAATTTGTCATTGTATCCATATCCTTGGAACTTAAAATTTACATTTAATGCTGGTTTTATTGATTCTCAGCCTATTTTAAACCAAATAAGAACAGTTCCTAAATAGTATTCATATGTTTATGCATTTTCTATTTTTCTTAAGTATAGAATACAATGTAATTTTTAAAGTAAAAATATACTTACTCAAGTGAGGATTAGCAGGAGCTACAAAACAAAAACAAAAATAAATATAATGTTAGCATGGCTACAATGTCTTTTATTAATAAAAGTCTAATCAGTGTCTCATGAGAGAGAGAGAGAGAAAGCAAGGGGCTGTTTTGTGAATCGAAGTTTCTGAAATCATGGTCCCCAAAGATTTTCAAGGGTTATCAGTAACTTGTCCTTTTCTGATTGACAGTCTCTCAATACTAAATATATATATATATATATATTGTTCATCAGTATACTGTTTGTTTTTTTCTTTGCCCTCTTTATCAAACTAAGTAAACAATTCTAAACACACACATAAGACAAGAATTAAATGCTCTGAGATTTTCAAGTGCATCTTTCATGATGTGAGTATTCCAGCAAATACATCTGTAGCTGAGCAAATGAAAGGACCTGGTGCCCTGTTGTCCTTGGTGAGGTCCAATGGAGACCACCATGCTGGTTTGTAATTTGACACTTACTTCCTGGGGTGAACATGCTGACTTTAGGTTTTCCGTGAAGAAGATAAGGCAGATCAGATGGTGGCGAGGAGGTTGTCATCATCTGGCCTTGTGAAGGAAGGAGGGAAGAAAAACACATTATTCATTTCCCTGCCCTCCCCCTGGAAATGTATGTAAAAAATTGTTTGGAGGAAGCTGCCTTGAAATCCTGTTCCAGCTGCACATGTGAGACTGAGGATGGAAAGAGCATGCTCCCAGGCCAGACAACCCCAAGTGGAAGCTCCCATTTCTGTCGGGACTGGATGATCCTGGCTCTCCAGACAGTGATGGCCTTGGGGTACTCTCCCCCTATCACTGTCAAACCTCCTTGGGGTTGCAAGGAGGTTTCAGAGTACCCCCAGACACCTTCTAGGATGAGTTTCTGGGTTTAGAGAGGGTGTGTTCATCTCTGTTTAGCCCTCCACAGCTGGTAAATCACCACCTCTCCTGACTTCAAGTTTGAGCATCCTAAGTAACTGACAGCAAGCCTGTCTCTCTGCCCCCATTTCCCCCTGTTCCCCATCCAAACAGGCATCTATAAGGACCCTGCCATGGACATCCACAGGCTCCAGGTCATAGGACTCCTGTCTCTGGGCTTCCGGTCAGGGCAGCAGGAAGAACTCCCCACAGTGAGAAGCAGTTGTTCACCACCCTCCCTGCCTCAGGACCCTCAGTGCCTGATTCTACAGTTATCCTTAGAGGGGGAGTAGGCAGTCAGCCACCCACACTCGTGGAAGCAGCCCAGCTCCTCTGATGCCCTGAGCCTTCGACCCTAGGCCCCTGATCCTCAGAGGCTCCTTCAGGCTAGACACAGGGGCCTGAGAGAGCTGTCCACAATGTCACTTACCTTTGTTCAAAGAGTTGCTCTTGTCCCTTGGCCAATACAACCTTTGGCTCCACCACATGCAAGGGCTCCTCAGGACTCTCGGCCTCCTAATGAGTATTTAAGGGCTGGGTCATTTCCTGGTCTGGGTGTGCCCACGTTGTCAAGAAGGCTGGCCTAGCACAGAGGTCCCGTGAGTGTCACTGGGTGACTGGAGGCAACACAGGTGTGGCCATTCTGGGGTCTGAGAGAGACCAAAGCACATTAGAGGCCAGAAAACAATGGTAAAGAAACACAGATGAGGCCAATGCTTTGTGATTGAAAATTCCTTGGGACTGACTTGGGGACAGAGGTGTGACTCATGTCACTGACTGAGCCACACCTCATTCACACCTTTCAGGAGTTTTATTCAACCAATATCCAGAGCTTTATTCCATGTTGATAAGCTAAGAGAATAAGAGAATTACCCGATTAATCATTTAATCCTCACAACATCCCTTGAGGGGCCATTAATCTTTATTTCTGCAGTGTGTGAAATCCCAGAAACCTGCCAAGCCAGCAGGATCCAGAAACCTGCTGCGCTTCGAAACCTGCCACGCCTCAAATTCATCAATGCACCACCCGGTGACCAGTCGTTTGGTTGTTAGGGTGTTATGGCAACTGGCCTTTTATAATATAGATGCAAAAAACAGAGATCCTGAGAGATGACAAAACTTACCCAAAAGAATCACATGGCCAAGTTATAAGCCTGATGTCTCTGTTCTTAAACACTGAGCGATTTTTCCAGCAGCTGAGACACCAGTCTGTGGCCCATGGTGGGTACGAAAACATGCACTATGTCCAATGCAGGGGATTCGTGGGAGGGACTGGGAGGGACTTGTAGGCAGAGGGACTTGGGAGGCCTGTGCTTTCCCAGCTCTGACTGGGGACCAGACTCGGCCTCAGCAATGGCATAGAAAGGAATCATTACCCTTGAAGCCCAATATTGTCAATCAGCCCAAAATGTTTTTAAAAATCCTACTCTTTCGACTGATCATAAACTGTGCACCTATGGATGAGAACAATGGGGGATGGGGAGGGGGCGGAGGGTGGGGTGGTAACCTGGTGGAGGGGGGAAGAAATGAGGAATCTTTGTAATAATATGAACAATAAAGATTGATTTTTAAAAAAATAATAAAAAATAAAATAAAAAAATAAAAATCCTACTCTTTCTCTGCCAAAATTTGCCTCCATGTAAACTCACAACCACTGGCTTCAGTTCTGTTCTCTGAAATCCACTGTTAACTCTCTTCCCCAGAGTACCACCATAGCCCCTCCCTGGTCTCCTTGCCTCTGTTCTCACCCACAGAGTGAAATGTCTACCCTCCAAGATCAGGTTCAAAGGTATAGTGTGGTCCTATCACTCCTCTGTCAGAACTCTCAAATGGTTTCATCACAATCAGAGTAGTAACTGAAGCCCTCTGCATGACCCACCTCTGCCCCTGTCCCTGCCCCTGCCTTTACCCTTGCCCCTGCCCCTTTGACTCCCTGTTCCAGCTGCACTATCACCATACTATTGTCTATATCTATGTGTCATACCTCTATATTTATTTCTTGCTTAAACCCTTTACCTTTTTTCACCAAGTCCCTCCCCTATGACAGTTATCAGTCTGTTCTGTATATCTATGCTTCTATTTCTATTTTGTTTGATAGATTATTTTGTTGATTAGATTCCACATATAAGTGAGATCATATGATATTTGCCTTTTTTTTTTTTTACTGGCTTATTTCACTTAGAGTAATAATTTCCAGGTGCATCCATGCTGTCACAAATGATAAGACTTCCTTCATTTTTATGGCAGAGTAGTATTCTAAGATATAAATGTATCACAGCTTTTTTACCCACTCATCTACTGATGGGCACTTAGACTGTTTCCAGATCTTGGCTACTATAAATAATGCAGTAATGAACATAGCGGTGCATATATTCCTTTGAATTAGTGTTTTGTGTTTCATATATATCCCCAGAAGTGGGATCACTGGGTCAAAAGATAGTTCCATTAACAAAATGGTGTTTTTTAAGAGAGAAACATCAATGTGAGAAACATCTACCGGTTGCCTTCCACACGTGCCACACTTGTTTGTTGATTTGTTGATGATAACTGTTCTGATAGGCATAAGGTGATATAAACTTTTGTACAGCAGAAGAAACCATCAACAAAGTAAAAACTAACCCCACTGCATGGGCAAATATGATACATCTGATAAGGGGTTAATTTCCAAAAAATATAAAAATGTATACAACTCAACACCAAGAAGACAACACAATTGAAAACAACGGGCAAAGAATCTGAATAGACACTTCTCTAAAGAGAACATACAGATGGCCAATAGACACCTGAAAAGATGTTCAGCATCACTAATCATCAGAGAGATGCAATTTAAAATGCATGTATGAGATATGATCTTATCAACTACACGCCAAATTCATCCGGCTAGGGCACTTATCTATCTTATTAACTATGTGCTTTGTGTGAGTAATTATGTCTGGTCCATTATTAGAATTTTCAAATATTTGTTGAACATACAAAGGACTGAATGAAGTATTCCCATGAAAACTAGGAAAACTGGGAAGATAAAAAGGAAATTGTGGTAAGAGACTAGAGATGCTCTTCCACCCCATGTCAGGGCTGAAGTACCCTGAAAGAACCTCTCGAGCAAGTAGGGGAGACTAGCTGCTTTGTTTCCAACTGGAGAGAACTCTGGGCCCACCTTGGCAATGCCAGGTGTGAGGAGAGACTTATCCAGGAGGCCATATACCCCAGTTGGTCCAAGAGCATCCAAGTCAGTGCCCATCACTCTGGTGTACTTATTAATAGAGCCCCTTCCACTCTCCTCTGTGTCCACAACTCTAGGAAAATTACTGACAATGGAAAGGCAGAAGAGATGCAGTTCTACAATTTTTGGGAACCTTGAAAGATGAAAGCTCAGGGAATGTCATGCTGTCTCCAAGAAGAAACATAATCTCTGACACCAACATGGTCACTCAGAGGCTGGAGGCAGATCTCAGCAGAGGGGGAGGAGGTTGGGACAATGCCTGTGGGCCCTGGGAGTCAGCACTGTGTTTGAAAAAATAGTAGCCCAACACCTTTCCTCACATCTTGGGGACAAGTAGAAATGTGAAGGAAAGACTACATGGGTTAAATGTGGTCTGAGGAACCACATTGCAGAAAATAAAGTTCACTGATATGTGGGCAGGACCCATGTTCCATCAAAAGTTAGACAAGATAAGCCTTCAAAATCAATATGCTCTCTATGGCTGGGAAGCATATGGACTTATGGCTTGTGAGTTCCTGGAACGCCCATGGTGATGTCAGAGGCCCCGCCAGGACAGGGCGATTACATTTCAGTGAGCTGTGTGCCAGCATCATGCACTGAAGTGTGGAGTGTATTTGTAGCACCCCTCCCAGTAGTGAGACCTGCAGAAACCTGAGTATGGGAAGATACCACCTTTCCAGCAATCCTTGCTTAGGGTATATGACAAGTCATAGTCGCTGCAGCTGACATTCTCCTCACAGAAAGCCTCACTGAGCCTCAGACAGCAGGGACCTGCAGGCACCAGTACATGGAGCAGCCCTCACAAGGCAGAACCTCCTTCTTTCCCCACGTGTGTAAAGCTAATTCTTCATAACAAGCATTTCAATAATTGCAAGTATGTTATTTAAAAATTGCTTAAAGTGATAGGAGGATCACAAACCAGGGCGGCCCACACCTTCAAAAGCAAAACCTGGAAGTGAATCATCAACATTGAATTTGAGGAAAGAAACTTTAGGGGACTGCCCCAGGGCCAAGGACTGGATGCTGATGCTGCAAAATGACGCCCAGCAAAGTTATTCCTGGCAGTGAAGCCCTCAGTAGGAGAGGCAAGAGTGGACCTCTTGAGACTGCAGCTTCTGCCGTTCCTGCTCCAGAAACAGTATATTCTCTGCCAACCTAACACCAGGAATACAACAGCCCAGGGTACAGTCCTCCAACTCCTCAGAGGAGGTGTACAAGCTGCTCCTTCACTCCAGGGCACCTCACCTGGCAAAGCCAGCTCCTGGCACCCTGCCCATGTGGACCCTTGATCACTTCTCTAGATTGGCAGCGAAGGGAGCTTGGTTCAAAGCTCCAGGGCTCTGAGCTAGCAGATGTGC